GGGGGTTTCCTGGGGTGATTGGTTGTGTTGACGGCACTCACATCAAGATTCAGGCACCACATCAAAACGAAAACGATTTTGTCAATCGTAAAGGGTTTCATTCCATAAATGTCCAAGCAATTTGCAATCACAAAGGTTAGTAACATACTAAAATATAATCACAGTTCGTGTTTCTTAAAAATTGTGAAATAGCCTTTGACACTGACGGGAACTCCCCTGAGATGTTTTTCAGATTGAGATTTCTAGCAAACCAGCTGCTATGGGGTTGCATTGATGGGAGCTACTGGATTGTAGTTTCATATATTCAGGATATGGGAGTAGCGATAAAAATTTTTTTTGATTAGGAATTAAGGGTATAAAAAGGAGAAGATCTGAGTCAATATATTGTTGAACATTTCAGTTCACATACATTCCTTTCCCAATTGACAACCTTTTTTAAAACAAAAATAAACGAAATCATTTGATTCAAATGGTATGGGTAAATTTTGGTTTGCAAAAACACATGGAAATAACCAAGATTATTACACCAGGTATTTTAATAACAGTATAAAAAAGAAAAAAACAAGGAAAAAAAAAAGGAAAAAATGTGAGATGTTTGTGAATATATTGCACAGCTAATGGCCAACAGAGTGCAGCAATCAGCAGGGTTTTCAAAATGATGCAGCCCCCCAATTTTCAAAACACAAATTAAATAAATAGTGAAAAGGTTATGCAAGTAAATTAAATATTTGAATCAGTTACCCCAGTTAATCATAGACACGATTATTGTGGTTTCTCTTTGCAGTACATTGTTGTAATAAACTGATGAGATTTTCTACATCATAGGTAAGAAATGGTCACATTACTTATTTGCTGTTTCATTTTAGGCATGTTTACTAACATTGTAGCATGATGGCCAGGCAGCACCCATGAGAGCTTCATATTTAGGGATTCAAGAACTGGACAACAACTTAACCAACACCAGGCCCTGGAAGATGGTTTACCGTGAGGTGACAGTGGTTACCCTTGTAAGCCTTACCTGATAACCCCTTACCTGAATCCAGTCACAGACAAGCAGCAAGAGTTCAACAGTGCCCACAAAACAACAACAGTGGCAATAGAACAAGCCTTTGGCTGGTGGAAGCGAGGGTTCCATTTACTTCATTCTGAGATCAGAATGAAGCCAGAAAAAGTATCCATCATCATTGGAGCATGTGCAGTTTTACATAACATTGCAATTCTGAGAAATGAACCTTTAGATGGCCATGCTGAGGCTGATGATCAGCCTTGTCTTGTTTGCTTCCATGGTCCTGAGGATGGCAAGGTCATCCGAGACCACATCTGCAACACCTTTTTCTGACAAAGTTTAATTTTTGAATTTCTGCCTAATGCAATCAGTTTTTCTTGTAATTTAACTCCCCATAAAATATAAAAATTCACAGATAAATTGAAGGGGTTTCTGGTTGAAGAAAAAAATATTAAAATAATTCTCACTCAAGAATCTGTTTTATTGCATCAAAATACATTTTAAACACGAAGGCGCGCTATAAAAGGAGCCATATGTCCCACTGGACCATTTGTTAATCAACTGTCGTGTAATGTAGAACTCTTAGGGTCAATTCAGCTTGAGCTACAGCTACTCCAAAGCAGTGAACAGCGGGCGCATTCCTCAAAGTTGATTTACGTCTTCATCATAATACAGGAATTTTTGAGATTTGTATTTCCTTTCTCCAATGGAAACTGTCTTTATTTGCAGCAGTAAATTTGAGATCGGAGTACGTGGTCTGCACGTTACCTCATGCCACCATGCTGGTGGAAGTAAACAATAGATATCTCATTAGCTCCTTTTGTTCGTCTACCAGCATTTGAATTTGACCCGCACACGTCAACGGTGAGTGACAAATGAGCCAAGGTCTTCCCAGGGAAGACTTCCTTACATAGCGTGCCTGTGTGTTTAAGAACAGAATACATTGTTTACTTTTCATTATAAATTATACAAGAAGAACATTTGG